TCAAATGACCCCATATGTGATTCCCTGAGTAAATAAATGCACAGCCAATAAGAGAATAAGTAATACAGTAAATTTATACTGAAGATCATCAGTTTTATTTCATTTTGATTATTTCTTGGTTTTTAATTATTTATTTGCATTGTTAAAGATAACATAAAAGAAACTTCCAGTTTTCAAGGTGCACAGAACAAGATAAAATCTCTTTGATGAATTCAGAGAAATAACTCATCCTCACTCTGACATGAACACGAGGTGTTCTCTATATAAGGCAATTTCCCAACTTAGGTAAAATGCGACATCTGTGACAATGCAATTCATTCATTCATGCATGCATTCAATAAATGTTTCTTTGGGCACCTACTGTCCCCCAGGGATGTGGAAATTATAGGGAAAACTGTACAGTCTCAAGTAAGACAACCATTGTTCCTGGCTTTATGAGACAGGTAGTCCCAAGAATTAGCTGGGTGAGGGGAAGGAAAAAGGAGCAAGAAGTTTCACAGAGACTTTTTAAATATTAGCAGTTGCATCTTGGCTTCTTGCTTAGTATTGCTCTTTTGACTCAATTATTCAGAATTTCACTTTGAAATGATGATTTGTATGCTTTTCCATTTAACAGGACATGCCTTCATTTTTAGCACTTTACTGGGAACTAATAGAACGTTCCTATGCAAACTCCATCAAATTCGTCCTGAGGAACCTGCGAGAAGACCAGCACGTTGTGCTTGCTTTCTTGTATGAGATTCGGTAAGGAAAGCTGCCAAAGTTCAAATGTTGTAGTTTGCAGGCATGACACGTAAGTACCAGCTCATTCTTTTAATGCCTGACAGAACAAGTTTCCAGCATTTTCTACGGCGTCCAGATCAGAAGCAAGATTTTGTATCTCAATGGCAGGCTGATTTCAACTCTCTTCCTGAGGACTTATGGGATGATGAGGAAACAAAGGCGGAATTACACGAAAGAGTGAATGTAAGCTGCTGGGCCACACGCTCTCTTGTACTGCAGACCCCTAGCCCATGCCCTTCTTGCTTCCCTGAGGTGTGAGGATGAAGAGGGGAATGGCCTGAACACTTAGTCTCAAGAGCGGTTGTGGGAAGGCCCTCCGAGAAGGAGCAAGTTCAGTACAGAAGTGACTGAGTGAGCCATGTGGATATTTGGGGGATTAGTGCCTCAGTCAAGGGGAAAACCCAAGGCAAAAACATGGGCATATGACTTGGTCTCTTTCAGACAGAATAGAAGCAACATAAATATTTGTCGAATGACGTGTATTAAGTCAACATTCTCTTTAGGGACATTTTTAAGACAGGAAAAGGATTTGAGTTTTATTACACTGAGGTAATAAACAGCGATGTTTCTTTCTGCCCAGGATTTACGAGACCGCCTGTGGGACATCTGTGATGCCCGGAAGGAGGAGGCCGAGCAGGAGCGGCTGGACATCATTAGCAATAGCTGGTTGCAGGACTCGACTGCAATACTGATTAACAATTTCTTCTCACTGATGCAGGTAAGAGCGCCGGTCAGGATGACCTCGACTCCGCCTGCCACAGCCATGTTCCTCATGTAAACAAGTCCTTTGGGAATGCAAAGGTCTGTTCAGGGCTCATTTTACTCAATGCGCTCTGCCCGCCCTGAGCTCCAAGCCCAGGAAGTCAGCAGAAAGAAATCATGTTGGCTCCAGCCAAACAAGCACCAGAATTGGGAGCATCTCAAGCAACTACCCACCAGCTCTGCTTCTGGACCACCTAGAGCTGCGGAGGGGCCAGCGGAGATGGTGTCTCTGATGGTTGCTCCCTCGTTAGCCTCTCACATCGGACACCCAAAGTGGCCAGCCGAAGCCCAGGAGAGCAGCTCAGAAGTATGGGCCAGATCAGCCTCAGCAAGCATTTGATGCCAGAAAAAAAGGTTATGCTTGGATTGGAAGAGCAGACCAGTCATGAAAACAACCTGATCAACATATTTGCAGCCTGTTAAATAGCAAGCTGCACTGAACAAGAAGACAGACATTGATTTTTTTTCCCCCCAGGCTACTATCAACAGTAGGGGAGAGAGCACAGACCACGTGTGGCTACCCAGCTCTGCCAAGGATAAGGGCATACCGTTTCTAAGACCTGGGGTGGGGTGCGGGGAACAAGTTAGGCCACCTGTGTTTCTGATCAGCCTTGCCTAAAGGGGGAGTCCACTATGTCCTATGCTCAAGAGGAAGTTGTGCCACTTGGACCAAGGCATCCTCTCAAAGGAGCCGAGACCTAGAGGGCTCTCTTTCTTGATGCTTACATTTCAAAGAGATGGTTCCCAGGTCCTAGAAAAAGACAGCCTGGGTTCTAAAACCGACAAGGTTATCAAAAGATAGCTCAAAGGGACAGAGAAAGGATTTACACTGACAAGTTTTCTAAAGTAAATATACCACCTGGCCAGCATGGCTCAGTGGTTGAGTATCAACCTGTGAACCCAGAGGTCACAGTTCGATTCCTGATCAGGGCACATGCCAGGGTTGTGGGCTCAATCCCCAGCGGGGGGCATGCAGGAAGCAGCCGATTGATGATTCTCTCTCATCATTGATGTTTCTCTCTCTCTCTCTCTCCCTTCCTCTCAGAAATCAATTAAAATATATTTAATAAGTAAATAAAGTAAATACACTAAGAACAAGGGAGGTTAAGAGACTAGGGTTAGGAAGAAGCCTGTCTGACATTTAATCTCTCTAAGGGGAATAAGAAGACTGTTGTGGTCAAGCTGTGTCTACATGAGTGTTCTTTCCTAAGCGAATAGCAGTCAGGGCAGAGAATGGAAAGGGGCCATTTCTAGTCTTCTGCTGATTCACTTACATGAGGACCTACTGCAAAAATGAGAATATTTAGCTGGTAATCGCCGGAGCTAAGGTACAGTAGGTGTTCAATGAATGCTTTTTTAACAAATGTCTGTGAATGCCAGAACAAACCCCTGGTGCATGGCAGGTTGGACCACCGCTGGCCTGAAAAATCAGCAGAAACCTGTGAGGTTGGACCACAGTTGGCCTGGAACAACCTCACCAATGACTAACTCTGGGATCCTGATGGGACCTCCAAGGCATGGATTGTGCAAGAGATTAAAATGATACAACCAAGCAGCTAAAGCCAGTCTGGGTAGCATTCCAGGACATGAGTTTGGGCAAGCAGAGACTGAATGTTGGAACAGGTGTGCCAAACGCTTATAGCAGAAATAACTGAAATCCACTAGTGCAGGTAAAGGGAATAGAGAATTTTTGTGAATCATTCTCAATAGTCTGGGCAATACTTGGAAATGGTATAACTCTGTCAGCAATACCTAGGTTTAAGGAGCTCTCTCTCTCTCTCTCTCTCTCTCTCTCTCTTTCTGAGAAACCGGGTCTACAGCTAAAAGCAACTATGGGGAAAAGAGGATAGCCTATAGCAGTGATGGCGAACCTATGACACGCGTGTCAGAGGTGACACGCGAACTCATTTATTTGGTTGATTTTTCTTTGTTAAATGGCATTTAAATATATAAAATACATATCAAAAATATAAGTCTTTGTTTTACTATGGTTGCAAATATCAAAAAATTTCTATATGTGACACAGCACCAGAGTTAAGTTAGGGTTTTTCAAAATGCTGACATGCCGAGCTCAAAAGGTTCGCCATCACTGGCCTATAGGATACATTTTCTACCAAATAAATTTTAGAGAATGCTATCCTAGATCATTTCTAAGATTCCTGTCACTAAGATTTTAGGACAAGAGAAATAATAAGAAAGCATTATTTACTAGTTATCATGAAGGTGAGGGGAGTCTTGTTCAATTCTGCTTATATGAGAATCCTGGATATAAAATGGCATCTTACTTATGGTTAGCTATAGCTGTATCAAATTCTGCCCTCTTGTATAAAATGACAAAACAATGTTAGCCTAGAGCATTGATACCAGCACTGTGCCAAATACCAATGGTGTAAAGTAGGATCCACTAAACTTAGTCATAATGAAAGAGTTCAGTTCTCTAAGCTAAAGAGGAAATAATTTCCTGGTCTCTCAATTTATTTACCAAATAATGTAATGTTATAGTTTAATGATTAATGATTTTTATAACCTCACAACAATTTCTTCACTTCCCCAACATTATTTGCCAATACCCATTTTGTACACGGGTTGACCTTTGCATGCTGCTCACTGCCAAGGGTTTTGTGCAGGTTCACATGAGTATAGTTTACAAGACTCATTTCCTCACCACTGTTTCTGCAAATCTAAGCACGACAGGTACAAACACTTACTGCCAAACTGTGAAATTAGTCCATATGTGGATATTTTAAAACTCAATTGGGTTTCTTGGCAAGGAAGATGTTTCGTTTTCCTAATCATTTCAAAATGCTAGTTTGAAGTTACTTAAATATATATTTATGTTGAAAATCCAAGAGTAATTCAAGTGTGTCCATAATTTAAAACAACATATGAATGGTAATTCTATTGTAGAACATAGATTCGAATGAACCAAATGAATTTCTTCTTGTTTCATTGTTTTAGCTAGAAAAGTTTGATACTGCAGAGGACAGCTTTTCAGAAGCAATTTGGCTTAGCTTTGGGGGATCAAAACAAACTTATTGAAACCGTTCTTGTCTTTTGTTATAGACTACAATGCAGAGCAGACATGTATTTGTTCCAAACTGAATACGAATTGTACAAGACAGTCTCTTGAAAGTTGTTTTCTTATGAAATAACTGACAACGTTAATTGCTTGGTAACCATGGGGATCCCTTCAGGAACACCCTCGGGTCAGGTGCAGCTAAGGGCTTTGAACACTAGGCCAGCTCCATTCCTTTTAGGGTAGAGGCCTTCTGTAATGGACTGGCTATATGGAGCACATCTGCATGAGAGCTTCAGTCGTTAAACCCTCAGGTACCTGTTTAAGTAGCCCCACTAACTAAAGCAAAGTCCGGGAGGCCGTGTTTACACAACCCAAGAGAAGCACAGATGCGCCGACAAGACTGACACCTGATGGCAGCAAAGGTGGGAAAACTCACGTGTGTCTTGCTGCAAAGGGAAATGACCTGGCTGGCAGGGGGCCACTGGTGAATAACTGATGCTCGCCTCGTCACCAGCTCCTCTGTGCTTCTCCACTCCCCTCAAGGCACCTACTGGCGAAGCCAGCAGAGGGTTTGGCTGGGAGCATGGAGGAGTGATCTTACCCTACATATTGAGCAAGGATGGACCTGTGGCAAGAGAACTGCCCATCATCACTTTACTTTCCTGATTATCCTCTTTCCACAACTAGAGGACCAAGCCTCGTCTTATTTTGTATTTCAGTTGTTTGTATTTGTATTTTACATTTATATTTATAATCATTTTAGTATCTCTCAAATCAACTAACATGGGACCTATGACAGAAGACGCTCAAAATGTTTATTAATGTATTGATTGCTTGAATACAGGACACAGAAAGAATTCTTAATATCAAAATAATGAATAATATACATTACACTACATCAGACATCATGCAATCTTTTGTCACAGTATTAAGAGGCATAGAAATGTTCTTTTTTTAGTGGATTAATCTATAATAATAAAAGCGTAATATGCTAATTAGACCGGACATCCTTCCGGATGACCTTCCGAATGAAGCTGGGGCTGTGAGAGAAGCTCAGGTCCCGGGTGCCAGCCAGCAACTGGAGGGAAACCCGGGTCCCGGTGACAGAGGGAAGCCGGTGCCGGCAGCCAGGGGAAGGAAGGCCTACTCTTGCACAAATTTCGTGCATCGGGCCTCTAGTACTCAGTAAGTACAGAAAATTCAAAGTCACCAGTTTTCTTCAACTTTTATGAAATTTTACACATACACGTGTAGCCAGTTCTCTTTCTTAATTTCCAGAAAATTGATTTCAACCTAAATGCTTTAAAATAGTGCTCACAGAGCTTATATAGAAAGTTTGCACAGATCAGTGTGGGTTTTTTTGTGTGGGGGCGGTATTGACATTATATTTGCTATTAAAGGCAGAACTGAACCGTTTTCAAGATACAAAGAGACTCCTTCAAGATTATTACAAGGGAATGGAAGGCAAAATCCCAATAGAAGACAATAAGAAATTTACTCGCATCCCATTGGTCCAACTGGATAATAGAGAGAGTTTGGAAAGCCAATTTAGGTAAGACTGATTATTATGTCACACTGTAATTTGCCTGAACATAACACTTTAAGACTTTAAATCGAATACTCTCCTGTATCTGCAAATCCAAAATCCAAAAAAGCTCTAAAAACTGAACATTTTTTTCTAACTTCAACTTAGGACTATTGATATGCATTATTTATCCGACTAATGGTGAATATTTACTCATTTTTGCTGCAGAGGTATCGTGTGTTTTGTTATGGAATGTTTCCACAGACTCTGCTACGAATAATAGAAATGATATAGTGTGTATGAACTCTGAATGCTGAAACCAAAGGGATTCTAGTAAGGGATTGTGAGCCTCTGCCGCTTCATCGAAATCTCGAGCTGTTCTGTGTGTATGTGTGTATGTATCATATTATGTCCATGAAAATGGAAGGGGTTATGAGTCTTCTTTTACAGGTAAGAAAATTGAGAAATAGTAAAGACCCAGTCATCTGTGATTATGATGTTAATAAAAGACATGAATGGTCTAACATCGGATTCCTGCCAGTAAGAAAACTAAGTTGGTGGTAAGGGTGGAACAAAAATTATATTTTCAGCCAAACACTCCTGTGAAATACAAAAGTTTTATAAAAAAAAATATTTTATAGACCCAATAGGTGGGGACCGGGAGGGGCAAGATCCCAAACCCTGAGAAGCTACGAACAGACAGCAAAATGTCTTTAAGCCCTAGCCAGTTTGGCTCAGTGGATAGGGCAATGGCCTGCAGACCTAAGGGTCCCGGGTTCGATTCCGGTCAAGGCACATACCTTCATTGCAGGCTTCTCCCCAGCCAGGGCCCTGGTCAGGGTGTGTGCATGAGGCAACTAATCGATGTGTTTCTCTCACATCAATATTTCTCTCTGTCTTTCCCTCTCTCTTCCACTCTCTCTAAAAATCAATGGGAAGATGTCCTCAGGCGAGGATCAACAACACAGAAACAACAAGGCCAGGTAAATGTTTGCTGGGGTTCACAATCCGCCGTCTGCATCACTGCTCTGGCCCCCAGCAGCTGGACTGCCAAACCCAATGCGAGTTCTCCTTTCGCTCCTGACTCCCCTCCACAGGCCTCAGCAAAGGCACCCTCGGAGCGCCTCTCTCTCTCTCACTCTGTCACCCAGAGGACCCCAGTCCCAGCGAGCATCCTGCCCCGAGGCTCTCTCCTGCCCCTGTTGGTCTTTGAGATCCTAGGACCCTGAGGTGATGGACTGTTCCCCTGCGGCTTTGAACGTGCTACATGGAAGCCATAGGATTGCCGGAAGGGAGAGGGAGATGTAGCTCCGTGTTCCCACATCACTTTACAGAACAGGAGACAGCCTTGGCCATGCTAGTGCAAGAGTGGGGAGGCCGCCCTAACAGGTTTGGCTCAATAGGTAGAGCGCTGGCCTGTGCACTGAAGGGTCCCAGGTTCGATTCCGGTCAAGGGCATGTACCTTGGTTGCGGGCACATCCCCAGTGGGGGGTGTGCAGGAGGCAGCTGAATCGATGTTTCTCTCTCATCGATGTTTCTAGCTCTCTATCCCTCTCCCTTCCTCTGTAAAAAATCAATTAAAAAAAAAAGCTGCTCAACTTAAAAAAAAAAGAGTGGGGAGGCTGCTGGAACTCCTCCCCACTCACCGCTGGAACGTGACTGCCCCCCTGGAACCCCCTTGCAGACCCACCACCCCTGTCACACCCCGCTTTCTAACCGTCCGCTTCAGAAAGCCAGATGCGAGTCAGCTGAAAGAAGTGAGGCCCGTTCCACATGGTTTGCTGTTTCCTGTGGGTGATTTGCTCCTGGTTGGAAGTGTATGCCCTGGATAAATTTCAAAGTTGCATTTCATTGCCATCGTTTAATCCCCCTCCTCGCAATTACTAAGAACACACCCTGAAAATTATGTCTTGTCATTGTTTGTTTCCAGTTTCCTCTTGTTTTCCTTTCTAAGACGTTCTAGACCACAAAGATGTGAATGCAGTCTTTTGTCGTCTTTTCTGTATTTAAAGAGCTCTACCAGGAAAACTTTGCAAGTGGAGATTTAAAGCAATACAACAAAATTCACAGAGTAACATAGGCATGGAAAATAAAACTCTGTTAAAGTCTTTATATTTTTTGTTTGTTTTCCAAAGAGTTCCTCTAGTTTCTCGAATATCCATTCCTACGGACATGGCTGCATCCAAACCAAAAGCAAAAGCCATACTGAAGGGCAAGACTGATTATTCGCTAGAGAAAGTAGAGTTCAACTTCGAGGCAGATGAGAAGTTGATAATGGACACCTGGCAGCAGGCTTCCTTAGCAATATCCCACATGGTAAGCTGTGCTTGTTTACATATTTCAGTAATACCCACTCATTAAATGCCAATCTTGGTCATTATGAATAAAAAATTTACACCATGTTTGCAAGCATTGTATACAATATCTCCACTTTTTCTTCTGAAAGAAATATAAAATGAAACAATTAAAACAGCAAACATATGTGCTCAAAAAAGGAATGAACCAACATTTAGGTTATTTTTTATGCTGGGCCAGGCAGGGTTCCAAGTACAGGGCCAATCGGAAGTGTCAATGAAGTGGGTCAAGTGTGAGGCAATAGGGAAGGGTGGGACTATGGCCAAGTGGAAATCACACCTTTGTCTCAAGAGTCATGGGCTACTCGGTCCGAACCAACTTTCCATTGAAGGATGAAGCCCAGTATGATCAGATTTTCAATTTTACAAGAAAAGTTAGAAATTCATATTTTTATATGACACCTACTGATGTTAACATGTTAGAAATTAAGTCAAATTTTTAAAGATTTACCGAGCCAAGCGAAATACGCATCTGCCCGTTAGGCCCCTGGTTTATAACCTCTGCTAGGCATTTTATACAAGTAACCTATGGGGTAAGTATTATTATCCTCTTTACATTGAAAAACCAAGGTCTAGTGAGATTAAGAAACTTGCCCAAGGTCACTCATCAGGTAAGTGTCAAAATGAGATTTGATTCTGGGTCTGTATGATGTCAGAGTTCATGTCCTCTTCTCCTTCCCTGGGAGGTAAAGTAATGATAGTCCTGCCTGCACTGAGCCTGCACCAAATCAGAGAAAGGAAGAGCATACAGGTCACTGTAATCTAGTTCGAGGCTGCATCCCCTACAGAAGGCTCATACGGAGTTCAACTCGGTCGACATTGTTCCCTCATCCTCCAGCCCTGGGCCCACCGATGCAGTTTCCATCTTCGTTCTGTGCCAAGCCTTCTCCGATTTTCCCTGAACTAGCCCATTCCAACAGAAAGCAGTGCCAACTTGCCAAAAGATTTTGTGGAAGAGGTAGAAGAGGATCTTGCATGACAGTCTCTCTTGGCGAGTGATCAGTGCTTCCGGCTGGGCTTTTCTGAGTCCCTCCTGGCCACTCTGCCTCCGGGGTTCTTTTCTCTGGCCCTTGTCCCACAGCAGCCGCAGTGTCCCCCTTCTGTCCCCCGCCCCTCTCTTTTGTTCTCCTACTTGTTTCCTGTCTCTCAAAGGGGGTTGTAAACTCTTGCCATTGTCTTGCTTCTTTTTAAAACCACTCAGTGTGCATTTTGACACACATAAGGAAGGTACATGAAATATAATTGCATGTCCAGATTACATACTCATGGAACCCCCAATGGGGAGAAAGGAGAAGGTCTACACCTGCCAAGTCCTCCATGTGCCCCTTCCCAGCCCTCACCCCTTCATCCCTGCAAACAGGAGCCTCCGTCCTGCCTGCTTCGCAATCATTTCCTTGATTTTCTTTTATTCCCCAAGTCTATACCTCTAAGCAGCATAGTTTAGCTTTGCTTGCCTTCGAGCTTTAAATAAATAGACTCCTACCTTCTGCCTCTTTGTGTCTTCTTTTGCTCAAAAGTATTTGTGATATTCAGCCCATCCCGTTGAGCGTAGCTGTATTCTGTTCAGCGCTGTCACTGTATAGCATTGCATTATACAAATAGATCACAGTTTAACCAGATACACATGTGGGCTCCCTTTTGGATGTCATTG